GCTAGCAATTAGAGAAATGCAAATCAAAACCACTCTAAGATTTCATCTCACTACAGTCAGAATGGCAACTATTATGAATACAAACAACAAGTGTTGGCAAGGATGTGGGGGAAAAGGTACACTCATACACTGCTGTTGGGACTACAAATTGGTGCAGCCAATATGGAAAGCAGTATGAAGATTTCTTGGAATATTGGAAATGGAACCACTATTTGACCCAGCTATCACTCTCCTTGGTCTATATCCAAAGGAATTAAAAACAGCATATTACAGGGACACAGCCACATCAATGTATATAGCAGCACAATTCATGATAGATAAACTGTGGAACCAACCTAGATGCCCTTCAATAGATAAATGGATAAAAATAATGTAGCATATATATACAATGGAATGTATTCAGCAATAAAAGAGAATAAAATCATGGCATTTGCAGGTAAATTGATGAAGTTAGAGAAGATAATGCTAAGTGAAGTTAGCCAATCCCCCAAAAAAACAAATGCCAAATATTTTCTCTGATATAAGGATGCTGATTCATAGTGGGATAGGGAGAGGTGAGCATGGGAGGAATAGATGAACTCTAGATAGGGCAGAGAATTGAAGGAGAAGGGAGGGAGCATGGGGTTAGAAATGATGGTGGAATGTGATGGGCATTATCCAAAGTATGTGTATGAAGACCTAAATTGGTGTGAATATATTTTCTATATAACCAGAGATATTAAAAATTGTGCTTTATATGTGTAATAAGAATTGTAATGCAAAAAAACAACAAAAAATCAGGAAAATGTTTGCAATATACAATAGACATAAATATGTATTTATAAATACAAAATAAAACTTCACAAAGCAATTGTAAACAAGATTGAAATCCCAGCTTGAAAAGGAAAAGTTTGCCAAAAAAAAAAAAAAAGCAGCATACTACAGTGATGTAGCCACTTCAATGTTTACAGCAGCTCAATTCACAATAGCTAAATTATGGAATCAATCTAGATGTCCTTCAAAAGATGAATGGATAAAGAAAAATGCATATATGCATAATGGAATATTCCTCAGTGATAAAAGAGAATAAAATCATGGCATTTGCAGGTAAATGGATGGAGTTGGAGAATATAATACTAAGTGAAGTTAGCCAATACCAAAAACCCAAATGCTGAATGTTTTCTCTGATATAAGGAGGCTGATTCATAGTGGGGTTGGTGGGGGGAGCTTGGGAGGATTAGATGAACTCTAGATAGGGCAGAGGGGTAGGAGGGGAAGGGAGGGGGAATGGGGATAAAAAAGATGATGGAATGAGATGGACATCATTACCCTAAGTACATGTATGAATATACGAATGGTGTGAATATACTTTATATACAGCCAGAGATATGAAAAATTGTGCTCTATATACATAATATGAATTGTAATGTCTTCTGCTGTCATATATAACAAATTACAATAAAAATGTATTCCTCCAAGCACAGGGAAATGTTTAATGATATATTAATTTTCCAAAATATTCTCCTCTTTGCTTTTATACACTTTTCTCCTATCACATGTCTCTAAAACTAAAGAAGAAAGCATTATGTTAATGGTTTGCTTTCGTATTTAATTTATAATAGGAACACTGAGCAGCAAAGGGATATGTTTGCAGTTTGGTAGGCAGCTCACCTCCTGTTACAATGAGGAATTCCATATGATGATAAAAGGAATTCTAGGCTCAAAGCTCTGGTCCTTTATTTTATACAAAACCCATACAACCAAACACCAACTAGTAAAACAAATGAATCTGAACATTCCTTCAGAGTTTGTTGAATTTATTTGGTTGCATATTAAACACAGTACTCAGTAAAAAAAGATGGGCATACCTCTCAGCCTATCCTCATTTTTAAAGAAACCCTATAAGGCATATTGTACTTTTCTCTCTGCATACTCTTGCTTCACTCTTAAAAACTACATAGTAATTCTATAGAAAGAACGAAAGATGGCCTTGGGCCATCACAATAGAATCAGTGGATGTAACACAAAGAGACCCCATACTAGAGAAATGTGTTTGCATTTGTGGTTTTTCTGGTGCCTTCAAATGAATGCTCCTACGTCACAACCACATCTGTTTGGATGCCTTTTCCCCCCTGGGTWAATGAACAAAGGGCCATGTTCTTAGAGCTCTCCTGATGGAAATTAACAGTCTGCTYTCATCCTTGCCTCATGAAGCTTCCTTTGAGTTGCTCTATTTCTTTAAGTTTTTYATAAGCTGATAGAAAACCAAAAGCTATCATGAATTTGGTATCTGAAGAACACTAATTAGAAAGAAGATCTAAACTTCTTCTGGGTCCTGAGAATGCTCACTTTAAAATGTTAAAAAAGAAAGACCAAAAGGAGAGATCAGAAACCTACGTCCAAGTAGAGAGTTCATGCAAGGAAAGAAATTTCAGAATATGATCAGTTTAAGTACTGTGGACATAATTTCAATTTATGCTTTTAGATTTGCCCAGAAATTTTGATATTTAAATGTTAACTTCTTCATTTTCAATATAACTATATATTTGCYGCTTGCATTTAAAAACTAGGGTATTCCATATTATACCTTCATTCATGTAGGCTAATATGAATGAATGGAAAGGCTTATAAACCCACAGAACGAGAATTCCCATCAAATGTCAGGCAGGCCACATTGACAAACAAGTCTTCATTTGTTAATAAGCTGCATACAATTAGTGTACTGAAAGATAACCAAAGGTTTCCCAGAAGTCCAATCATAATCATGCAGCATTAAAATCCAAAGAATATAGTACAAGTTATAAATACACACTTTAAGAAAATAAACGAAAATAAAAGGTACTTACACTCTTGCTCCGAGAAAGCAAATCACACGTATTTCTTTTCATGGTTGTGTTTTAAGTAATCCAAACGGGCACTAGTTGTTTCCAACGTCAATGCTCTCACTGCCACAATTATCCACTCAAAAGCCAACTGGAATGCTGGAAAAAAAAAAAAAAGCAAGGAAATGTTTAATCAAGTATATGATTAACACGTGCACTTCAAAATGCTATTTTGGCCTAGGAACATAACTCTTAAATAATTCATCAAAACAGGCTAAAATGGTGATGTGTTTAAAACAACAAAAGTACAAACAACATTTCCAAAACAGCTTTTTTAAAATGTAAGTTAGAGATTTCAAGCACCATCTGTTTTCCATTAAATATTCAAGTCTACTTTTTCAGTGGCTGAAAAAAATAGGTATGGTAACCACAACCTAATGTTACTATAAGAAATGAAGATGTAGCTGAATTGTATTATGTGTTGATTCTTTTTTTAAATATTACTTTTAGTTGTAGTTGGACACAATACCTTTATTTTATTTATTTTTATGTGGTGATCAGGATCGAACCSAGGGCCTTGCATGTGCTAGACAAGCGCTCTACCGCTGAGCCACAACCCCAGCCCCTTATGTKTTGATTCTTACTGGGACAATTTTGGACCCTTAACTTTCAACCAAGAGATCATCAACTGAGCCTTGTCCACCACTTGGGGAATCTTCCTACATCTGAAGGAAAGAGCCTGGGAGCTGGGTCATGGTTCTGATTTCCTGAGCAATAATCCACAAGACACTGATGCCATCCCAGTGGCTCTTCAGTAAACTTAGTGAGTTCTTTATACCTTTAGTTCAAAGAGGTTGCAAGGAATGCTTGAGAGAATTGAAGGCACTTTACCTAGATAAGCAATAGCTGTTATTCAAAGAACATTTCAAAAGAGTTGTCATGTGAATGATATTGATGGCCTTATTTCCTGAACTTCACTTACCAYTAGAGACTAGGATGAAGATTCTGTGTTTGGTGGAAAGAACAAATTTAATAGCTGTATGTGTTGTCTTCATGTCTAATATGCTACTATATCTGACCATGATTTGCATATACATAGGATATGCTTGCATGTGGGCTAAAGAGCAATTGGGGAAAGAACTTACCCTATGGGAAAGGGTGTGAGATAAACACGCATCACCAAAACACAAAAATTCTTACAAATACAGATGTAGGCTGACATTGTAGGTGTAGGTCAATGCTAGCAGCAGCATATAGTTCCATTATTTGCATTGTCCTAAGGTTCTCAGGGGAARAAAAGAATGAAAGGACATCTGTGCCTGAGGTGTAGGGAACAGAGTAATACTAATCAAGCTCTAAATGACCTAGTTTTACTGTAATGATTGAAAAAAAAATGGGCAAGATTTCAGGGAACAGTGTCCCTGTGGGCCCCAGTATGAAGCCATCCATCAGCTTTAGGGAACCCAGGACCACCAGGGGAGAGGGACCTTCACCAGGCTCTTCAACATCCAGCGCTGCCATTCTCTCAAGGCTGATAAAGCATGCTTTGAACATATGTAAGTCACCCTTCAAGACTTCTGATAATAAAAGGCAGATAGCTTTAGGGGGCCAAACAAAAAAAATGGAGTTAAAAACAAAGAAATGGATTTTATTATTGCTAAGAGTTCCCTAGCTGCAACTTGGGAACCCAAAGAGTACTGAGGGAAAAAGCTTTCTTCTGAACTTAATGAAAATACTTGCCTAAAGATTAGAGAAAAAAAATGCACAGTCAAATGTAAGTTTGCTAGGAAAAAAAAAATGCTGTTTCTTTGAGTGTCTTTCGACTTTTATTTTAAGAGTGCAGAGCTTGGAGGGAGGAGCTAATCCACAAAGAGAAATTTCTCAACTAGCGCACTTCCAGGAGCATAGTCACCTTTACAGTGTAGTCATGATGCTGAGCACTTTATAGGTTCCAGGAAACTATGAGATTATGTGATTCATTTAGTTTAAGAAGTGGATTGAAATAACAGAAGCTATAAACTAAATACACTGAACTGAGGAAGGAAAGAAAATATCAAGTGCTGCAGRAAGCTTACACATGAATGTGAGAAAAAAAAAACTCATTCAAATTATTTAATTAACCTCTCTGAGAAAAAGGGTGGTAATAATAGTATACATGTGAGTTTTTAGCTCAAATGAGAAAATGTATATGAAGTAGGCTAAGAGATGGCACCTAAGAGATGCTTGGCTATGGCTATCATCATCATCATCATCATCATCATCATCATCATCATCTTTTCTTCTCTTAGTAACAAATGTCAAGAAACAATGAAAAGAACCAATTTTATGTTTTCTCCTAAAAGTGCTAATCTCCATTATTTAAAACATTCCTAGGCAAACATATTTTTCAACTAAAAAATCATGAATAATGTATCAGTTAGGGTCCCAGGGTAAAGAGGCAGCATATTAATACTAGGATCATTTAAGAGGATTTAGTAAAGACTACTGAAGATGATGTGGATAAGAACTGCAGTCCCTGGAGCTAGCAGTGATGGAGTTTTTACTCCACTATTCCCAGGGTTGGGGTTGGGGGTGTACACAGAGGGGATGGGTTGTCAATACCTAGGAACAAAGAGTCACCTCAGCCASAACAGGCTGCCTCCAAGAGGGAAGTTACTCTCTGGGACATAGTTAGCCCCAGGTAACCCTAAAAGGAAAGAGATGAGGTAAGGCACAGGATCTCATTTTCCTCCCTCCCTCTGATCTCCTGCCAGGATCCTCCACTAGCCAAATTCCACTGGGCCAGAGGGCAAAGGAAGCAGCTGATGGGTTTCTCGCTGGTCAGCCTTCTAGGGCAGGAAGTCTCCTAGACTAGGGYAGGGAGGGTACAGGAGTTTTAGGGCAAATGGAAGACGTGCCACACAAATTTGATCTGTAGTCTAGCAAGAGGATGGTATTTTTCTGTGACCTCCCTAACCCTATGCAAAGTAACCATCATTTATCTTCAACACTCTCAACAACCCTGCAAGGTAGATAAYGCTAATATATTATCCCCACTGTGCAGAAGAGGAAATCAGCTCCAGAAAGTGAGCTAAATTGCCCAGTAAGTAGCAGCACCAGGATTCAAACCTGATCTGCCTCCACAGTCCATGTTTGTGTTTATGTTGCCAGGCTGCTTTGCTGCCAACACCATGAACCAATGCATTTTAATTATCAACAAGGGGCAACTTCTGCTAATATCAAAGCTGTGCCTATACCAAAGAATGTTTGATTAAAAAAAAAAAAAGGTTGACTCTCAGGAAGGTAGTTATCTGAGTTCCTACATATTCCTCCCCTCAGCAAGATAATGCAGTGAGACAGCAGAAAATGCTTCTCCCTCCAGGTGCACTAAAAAGAAAACCAGGCAAGCGAACATGGGCACATGTGATTTCATTATGATAGAAGTTTCCACATAAAAGTTAATTAGGGAGAAAGAAGAGTCTGCTCCTAAAGGGAAAATACTTCAGAAATAAAAATGGAGAGAAGAGGCAGTTAAGATGGACGGTGTTGGAACATTCTGAGAAGGAATCTGAGCCATAGCACTTGTATAAATTGTTCAGCTTCGATGCGAGGATAAGGGAGTTTCAGACAGCTTCTTTCCTAGAGATTAAGGATTTATACATCAGAAAAAGCCCTGAACTGGTCATCAGAAGAAATGAGTTCTGCTTTCATCACTATTTCATATACACAAGGTGTATGATATTAGGAAAATCCCTTCTCTTTTYGCCTTTACCAGTTGCTTGCTTTTCTGAAAAGTGGAGATAACAATATCTGTACAACCCACCTCACAAGTTGTTACTGGAATTAATTGGATAATATCTCAAAAGTTTTCTGGAAACCGTAAGTTTCCCTGCAAATAAAAATCTAATCATTTAAACAGAGAACGTGCCAATGCCTAATGATATTCAAGAATAAGAATCAAAAAGGTTTCAAATCATCCTCAAATATTAGAAAAGCTATTGGTTATGTTTTGTATATTTCAGAAGAATTTCCTATGCTTCCCTTCTTTCCAAATTTTATTGTTTTCTTCTATTAACTAATTCAATTATATAGTGGCTGCTGGATCATAAAGCCACTTTAATGAATTAATTTGAAAAAAATTATTGAGCACCCACATGCCAGGTACTAAATTAAACTAAATACTAACATAGAATTTTCTAGATTCAGGGGAAAAAAGTGTTTGGGGTGTAGTTGCCTAAMGATCAAGGGGTAATTTATTAGCTCTGTCTCCAACTTAGTGTCTTCTTCACTTCATCAAAAGATATAGTTTTCCAATGCTGCATAAAATAGACATCAAAGTGAAAACAAATTGACATCCTCCTCCCTTTGTTAGATATTATAGTTGTTGGAGTTTTTGTTTGCTTGTTTTTGTTATGCATGATCTATATCCTCAGCCTCCTTAATTAGATTCTAAACTCAATTAAAAAAGCTACCCAGAAATTATGGCTCATACCGGTAATCCCAGCAACTCATAAAGYTGAGGCAGGAGGATTGCAAGTTCAGAGCCAGCCTCAGACATTTAGCAAGGCCCTCCACAACTTAGCAAGACCCTGTCTCAAAATAAAAAAATAATGTAGATGTAGATCAGTGGTAAAGCACCCTTCCATTCAATTCCCAGTACCAACCAAAAATGAAATAAAATAAACAAAAAAGAAACTAGCTATGGTACATTAATAAAGGAAATATCATCACTGTAAAAGCACCAAAGAGATACAGTAAAATCAGGGTCAAGTTACCAAGGTTTACACAATGAAATAAGTGCAGGCAAGAAATTAGTAGGAGGCTATGCAAGAACTAATATTTGAAAAGAAAAGAAGCCTGCCCAGTGCTATGGCACATGCCTGTAATCCCAGCATCTCAGGAGGCTGAGGCAGGAGGATTTTGAATTCAAAACCACAAATACTAGAAAAGCTATTGGTCAGCCAAAAGTGAGATACTAAGCAATTCAGTGAGACCCTATCTCTAAATAAAA